CATCTGCCCTCATGGATAAGATTCACATGCAGAAGGTTGGCTTGGGAGACATTGCGAATCGCGGCAAGCCGGGAATGAGCTCTGCCAATCTGTAGCGATGCTTCGACGCCGCAGCAGCACTGCGGGCAACGAGTGTGACTGATCAAGCTGCTGTCCCCAAGCGCGCCGCGCTAATGCATCTGCTGGTGTAGCCCATGGATGAGGAGCTCGAGAAGGCCACTGCGGATGCAGCAGCCGGCCGAAGACTCCGGGGCAGTGTAAAGTGAAGAGTCTGTAGAGTGCCTCAGTGAGGGCAAATGGATGCAAATGGCCTCTCCTTCGGTGGCCATCCAGCTGATGCCTTCCAGTGGCGCAGCTTCGCTGCATAGCTGACGTCACACCCGGCCAGGCATAGCCTGCAGACAAGAATGCTTTCGCATGGTTTTCGTGCTGCTACGAAGGATTGATGGGCCAGATTGTGCAAAACTGACCGTGCTGCAGAATTTCTCTGAGCTTGTGTCCATTGGTGTGTTATACAGTGAAGCTGCAGACTACTCCCATTCTGCTGTTAGCCCGCTTGCAGCTTGTGAGCAGGATGGTGAGTCATCATGTTTCCTTGTCGTGGTTGGAACGCCCCCCTCAGGCAGGTTATGCAGCCATATATTTTTGCGGACTAGTGTCATGTAGCTGCTTCTGTTGCTCCTTGCTTGCGGGTGTGGAAGGGTCAGGCCCATGCAAGTGCTGCTTGTAAATTTGTCGCTGTGGCTCAAGACCGGGTATCTAAACTCTGTGCGGCAGCTTCAGCGGACATCTACAGGCGCCTGCATTTGTGCTGTCATTTGTTGTAAGTTGTCGTAGCAGCGAGATGGCTTATATTGTCAGACCTATCGTTGTGCACTCCTTTCGGGGTCTCACGTATCACATTAAGAGGCTCCGCTCATGCCAGGTGTCTGGATATCATGAGCGCAGAGGCGCAAAGGATCGATGCGCCTTGCCTGCACGCAGGGTACAGAGGGCGTCATGATCACTGCGTGGTGCAGCCTCCTGCTGCGTTACGTCCGGCTGGGAATTTCTCCTCATTTTCGCTCGTCAGATTACCTTCAGATCGGGTCGGGCATGGTATTAGTTATTAGTCCATGGTGGCCCTGTACGGTGAGGCTGATGCGAAGGCCATGGCAATGCCGCCTGATGCGAAGAAGGATGCCAAGCCTGTTAAGGCTGGAGACATTTCTTTAAATTCGTGGATGAGGTGTTTCAGAGTATAGAAATAGAAAGATCGAACAGTTCAGCAGGTGGAAGGGTGATCAAGACCCAGCTGCCACAGCAGAGGTCTCCAAGCCCCGCATCGATTGCATCGACGGTTGCCGCTTCGCGCTTGTCTTCCCCATCGTCGTTGCGCACTTTGCCAGGCGGGTGTTTAGGTCACAGCACAAACAGTCCTGTTGTCAGTCCATACATGCAGGTTTGGCACCAAGAACCTGACGGCACTGAAGCTGCTCACGCAGGAGAACGTGCTAGTCGGTGGATTCTTTGTGATCTCAGGGTATGTAGTGGTCTCAGCTAATTTTCTGCGTTAGGCTTTGTGCTTGTGCCAGCTGCACTACATAGGTGTCTGCTTACACCTCGACAAAGCTGGGCGAGCGGAAGGCAGAGGACCCTTTCAGGGGCGGGTGGGGGGAGGGGGTGCATCGCTTCCCGAACCGGATTGGGCTTGCTAAGCATTTCTGTCTGCATCTTTACTCATCTACTGGCTCAGGACAAGAAGCTTGCCAATCCAGAGCTCTTCTTCTGGCAGAGGGTCCGTCGGTCAGCATAAGTGCGAGCTGTTGCATCGCGAAACTTGCCCGTGAGGTCATGGCGTACTATCCCCCGCACTTCGTAGTGTCCACCCTCTTCGCCCCGATGTTCATCCAGGTTGAGAGGCCTGGCAGATTTCGCGGGGTTCTAGAACAGCATACAGCTGCGCACTCAAGGCCGGTATCTTCCGTGTTTCAATGTTTGGGATGTTTGTATGTCAGATAGGTGGTTCAACACGCCTTGGACCACTACGGCCTTCCGTGCCTTCCTGAACTTCAGCATGCTGCAGGCTTGCTGGCACCAAATTGAGGATGTCTTCAAACTTCAAAGTTTGAGTTCCGCTTTTTGATCCTCTAGGCTGTAAAATTGGGCTCAAAGACGGGCCCTCTTATGTCCTCTGGGCCGTTGGCCCAAGCAGCTGCATGGCCGTGCCTCATACTCCAAAGCGCTTCAGGAAATAGATGGGTTTTGGGTAGACTTGATGCTACTTTCCACAACCTTAGCACTTCAGCACTTTGGGGGTCCTTCTTTTATCATATCAGAGCTAAACATCAAAGCTTCTTGGGTGGTTAACGAGCGATTAAGCAGAGTTAAACAACTCATCACGCCTCACATTTCCTGATTGATTAGCGGAATCTGAGCGATGAGATTTACGACATGTAGGCTGTTGGCTGTAAAGACGGATGCAAGCCAACGACGATCCCGTTGCTCATGCCGGCCTTGTGTTATTAGCTTGTTCAGCGAAATTACAAGCTAAGCTTTTTCTTGGGGACGCGGACCTGAGTGACCCCTGAGGAAACGCAGATTTCCACATCGGGCTACCAAAGCATTTATGCCCAAAGCAGAATGATGTTCGTGTTCCAAGAGCATACGATGATCAGAACATCCATGCCCAAAGCATGATCACGATCGTGTGTTCCAGTGAGCCCATAAGACTGTGGGGACATAGAAGAAGTTCACCAAGCCAGCCTTGAAGTCCAAGAAGAGAAGGGGAGTGAACTGCAGTTTGCTTCAGAAACTGTTCTTGTTTCGGCACGTAAGCAGGGGCAAGAGCCTCGAACGAAGCACGAGTCGCGAAAAAGAAAAGCACGAGTCAGGGAAAAATGAAAAGCACGAGTCAGGAAAAGAAAAGGCACGAGTCAGGAAAGACCCTAGAAGTCGGGAAACATTGCAAAGGGCAGCGACGTGCCTTGCACATGCAGGGGGTGGACTTCACAAGCAATCCATCAATCAATCAATCAATCAATCAATCAATCAATCAAAGATGCGCGACACATGAAATAGACCGCGAGTCAGAATAAATGGTACGTAGGTAAACACATATTAGGAACGAAAGGACAGAGGAAGAACAGGTACAGACATAGTTTAAACAAATTGCAAAAAGTACAAAAGATATGACAGAGGGAAAGCCAAGTACAGACATGTGGTAAGACTCACTCCTTGCATCTTGCGAAACATGGCATGAAGTCACAGGGGGAAAACAGATGCAGACATGGGTTAAAACCAATTCCTTTTGCCCCTTGCAGGAAGAGGGAGGAATGAGCTCACTGAGGGTAAGTGAAATGACAGAGGGAAGCGAGCCCCCCTTTTGCAATAAGTATAACATGTCGAAAGACGTAACAGAGGGAAAGCTTTCACCTTGCGATAACTGGAAAGACAAGTCAGAGGGAAAGAGGGTACAGCCATAAGTGAAAGCCACCCCCGTGTCACCTTGCAATAAGTAAAAAGACATGACAGGGGGAAAGCCAGGTACAGACATATTGTCAAACTGCCACTTTTTCCACCTTGCGAAAAGAGGAGTGACATGACCAAGGGAGGGTGATCTCCTAGGTGGTTGCCCAAAACACATCCGAAAACAAGAGCCTGTCATGTGAGAACCTCATGCACGGGCAACGTGACAGCTGAGAGGGGGGTGCGTCAGAGACAGACATGTCAATGTGTCAAGACCACCCCGTTTTCGCCTATGATAAGTAGAAAGAAGTGACGCTGAGAGAGAAAAAGCCCCGTGACTCACGCTGCATTTCGACTCACGCCTCTTTCTCCTGTCTCGCGGCTTTTCTTTTTCCCAACTCACGCCTCAACCGCCGGGAAAGATGTGCCGCCGAAATCGAGTAACGCAATCGGCGCAGCATCTTTTCTGCTTTCTAACTTGTTGTAAGGCTTTCGAACTCGTTGCAGAATATCCCACCGGGAGCAGCATTTTCCCAACTTTCCAACTTCTTTCGGAGGCGTCGCAGCATGCCATCTCCCTTTGCTATAGCCACGCAGCATTTCGCGTATCAGGACCCCTCTCCCAAAAAGGGCTTTTCTGTGGTTGCGCATACCTCAACGTAGGCCTGCAGCAGACATATCCTAAAACCACACGCAAACGCTTTTTCAGGCCGTGTTACCTTGTTTTAGAACTCTCCGTTGGCTGTTGCCTGTGGCTTAAAAAGTTTGCGATATGTTGAGAAACCGAGCTCCAATGCTCCATCTACTTTTCACAGATGGCACCAGGCAAGATGTTGCTTTCTTGAATACGTCCTGCATATTTCTGGTGCTATAGATCCAGGCCATGGAGAAGTGATCAACTTGTACCCCGGAGGAGCTTGAAGCCAGACTCAACAGTAACAAATCTTGGACAGCAAAAGGTAATTATCCATTCATCCGTCTCCTAGCTGCACTTTCGGTCCGTTTTCGGATTAGGTCCGGATTCACCTATTGCAAGTATCATGGCGCTGTCCTCCCAAGCGCAGCGGGTACTTGACGCGGATGGTATCTTCTGAATGCATTTTTTTATTTGCAGCAAGGCCAGGTTCGAAGATTCCAACTTCTTCTTGCTAGGCCAGGCTTCTTGTAGGAAAGGCATTGAAAGTCTTTGAAGTCCCCTCAATCAGCAGCTCCACATGCAAAACGCTCCCCTTTGGCCGCCTTGCCTGAGAAGAAGCAGGGCCTCATGCCATCTCCAAAATGATAAACCTCAAGGGAAGGGCTTTGTTGTCGGGAAAAAAGTGTGTGATGGTCTTCTCTGGGCATCTGCTTGAGCTTTCGAGCAAAAAAAGACGCTTTGTGAGACGTTTGGTTTTGTCCCTGCAGGTGAGCATCAAGAGGACGAGCAGTTTCACTGACATCTGACATGTTGAAGGTATCATCCCTGTCGTGTTCTTGGCAAAACCCCAGCATACGTTTCTAATGATTGGCACAGACCGCGCTTTCCCAGGTCTCGTGCGTTCTTGCCCGTCCTCCTTCATATCCCGGAGGCCAGGGTTGGCAGCGGTAGTGTGGATGGAACGAGAAGAGAGCTGAGCAGCGTGTGAGCAGGTACCACATGGTGTTGACCAAGGGTGGCAGGGACCTCCCCAAGCGCATCCCGGGCCTGATCCGCCCGGTTGTCAGCGCGACAACTGTGAAGACTGGAGAGCATAGGCAGGCTGCGGGGAACTGCATGGACCGTGATTTCCCAGGTCTGGCACCTTCTTGAGCTTCGAGTGTGGACGCCTCATGTTTGGGCATATCCCGGAGGCCCTGGTTGCTAATGCTGTCAACTGCAGCCTGCGGCCAGTTGGCGCAAATCTTTACTCGCTAGTGCTGCCTTGCTTGAACGCTGACTCCTGCAGGAGGCCACGAGATTGACGAGATGATCGATTTGGCGCAAAGCACCTGGCGTTTTCTTCTCCTGGACAGTGTGGAGGACGCTGAGGTGAGCTAGAAACAGGTCTACACCATTCTACACCATTCTTGAGCACAACTACATGAACCTTCGGGCAGGTGAAGGCACTCTTGCTGGTGTTCGAGTCCTTCGCCACGAGTTGCCATTGCGGCACTGCTACAGACCGTGGAAGCTGGCCCCGGTACGCGAAGATCATGGCCTGGATGTGAATCCGAAACCTTCGGGTTGACATGTCAACCCGCTGCCGGCACGGCCCAGCAGCATTGGCCCGACGACAGAACGTGCCATGGCTCAAGACGTGGGATGGCCAGTAAGGACAAGCTGGTTGAGGACTAAATCCTCAACCAGCTTGTCCTTACTGGCCATCCCACGTCTTGAGCCATGGCACGTTCTGTCGTTGGGCCAATGCTGCTGGGCCGTGCGCGGCAGTACCCTGCAGGGAAGGCGTCGCG